CATTGGCAGGCGGATTCTTTACCACTGAGCCACCTGGGAAGCCCCCATTCTGATGCTTACTTAGAGGAAAAGTGGAAGAGGGACAGGGTGGATGATGGGTATTTGGAAGGCCAATTCATTTTCTCTGCTTCCCTCCCCTCCCATGTGGAACCTGGCATTTCGCCTATATCTCACATTCTAAATCTATAATCTTGAAACTTAACTGATCTGCCCTTCCCGGGAATAGTCCTCTGTACTGTTTTTCGCCCTGGCTTTCTTTCCCTGGCTTAGTCACCCCTTGTCTTCCGGGGGGAGGCCTCACTCCTCCGGTGGGCGCGCTCAGTCTCTGTTCTTGAAGCCCAGTCCAGTAGTGTAGGGGAAGCTGACAGCTACAGTCTAGCTCTGACCCTGAGTCTCCTGCCTTCCTCTAGACAACCTCTCTTATATCGAGCACATCTTTGAGATCTCCCGCCGTCCTGACCTCCTCACTATGGTGGTTGACTACAGAACCCGTGTTCTGAAGATCTCTGAGGAAGATGAGCTGGACACCAAGCTAACCCGTATCCCCAGTGCCAAGAAGTACAAAGGTAAGAGGCCATGCCTTTAATGTGCACCTCTGCCCCTCCCACGGATTATCTGTGGAATACTTGAATTTGGGGAGAACAGAGGCTCTGTTAGCCTACCTGCTGTCTCCCATGACTTCTGTCCCTGGACATGTCCCTTTTTGCCCTCAGACATTATCCGGCAGCCCTCTGAGGAAGAGATCATCAAATTGGCTCCTCCACCGAAGAAAGCCTGAGCAAGGGGAGGAAGAGGAAGGTTGGACCTTCGTCAGACTACTCTTTCCCCGTCCTCCAGGGGAGGGGCAAGGGCAGCCCTCCCCCATCTACCCACTTACTAACCTGGTCCTAACCCCCTTACTGTGCGCGTGTGTGTGCGTGTGCGCACGCTCTGGCTGTCTGTCTATATGTCTAGCTCATCTAGTTCCTCCTCCTTGTGAGGGGATGGGGGTCAGGGGCTGGGGGTGGTGGTGGGGCTGTTTCCCCACTCTAGGGGGAGTTGGGGGCTATTTCTATGCAAATAGAAATAGACACATTCTCTTACTTCCCTTTCCTCCACTCTTCCCCTACCTCCCTGAAGTGTGGGAGCAGAAAGGACCTGTGTTTTCCGAGGTTGAGGAGGCGAGGTGGGAGTGAGGCATGGGAGTGGGGTGAATCTAACGAAAAGCAGTGAGAGGGAAGATGAAGAGGCCACCCAACCCCCACCTGGAAGGGGCAAAGAGAAGCCAGAGTTTGTGTTTGTACCCCAATGCTGGACTGGCTGAGGAGTCCTGTTTCCAACTGTTCCTCAGGTTAGAGGGCCTGGGCACCAGCAGGTCCCCTTCTGCTCCCCTTTCATAGGCCTAGGGTGGGTATGAGCCAGGGACCTAGAGATCGATCACTGGATCCTTCCCTGGCCCCAAAGTTCAAACCCCATGGAGAACCCAGTGCTGAATTCCGCCCTCATCCCCCACCTCTGGAGAGACTATGCTGGGAACATGCCCCCACCACTGAGCCTGAGGGGATGAAGGCAGAGGAGTCCCCTTTTCTACTCCTTTATTCCTACTCAGACTGTTGCACATACTAACCTTGGGAGTTCCTAGAATAGAAATCCTTAGGTTTTGATTCCAGTCCTGTTTCCACCTACAGAGTCCCAACGTGGTTACTGCAGGCAACGTTCCCTCTCTCCGTGGTCTAGAAGCCCCTACCCCAAGATAGAAAGAAGGGAAGAAGCTAACTACAGTGTTTCCGTTGCACTGATCCCCAATTCAGTCCAGGAGGGGGCTTGGTAACCCCTCTCTCTCAATATCCTGGCACCTTGGGCTTGTGAACACCTCCTAGCCAAATCACTAGAGTACAGTGACCGCAGCCTCCTGCCTGTCCCAAGTCAGCCCTCCCCACCCTGACCGTGCTAACTGTGTGTACATATATATTCTACATATATGTATATTAAACCCGCACTGCCATGTGTACCCTTTTTTGTGGTGTCTAGCATTAACTTATTGTCAAGGCCCGGGCGGGGGTGGAAGGAGAATGCCACAGTGAAGGGAGTGGCAGAGTCAAATTGCTATATAGTCGAAAAAGAACACTTTTTTAAACTTTAATTTCACATGCAATCTCAAGAGACTATTTAGAGAGTTTAAGTGAGGTGGGGAGCTTTTAGGATGTTGGGAGCAAAACTTCAGTGGGAGGGAAGGGCTGGCTGTTGGAAGAGGGAAGAAGCCAGACTGGCTGGAGAGCACCCTCTACTAACCTAGCCTAGCGTAGCCCAGCCCAGCCCAGCCCAGCCCAGCCCAGCCCGTCCCCTCTGGCCACTGCTGCGGACACCTGCCTTAAAACATACACGTCGAGTACTCCATGGTTTTGCCTTAAAGGACCTTCCCAAGTTTCCCCAGCCCTGTCTGGCTTTCTCCCTCAAGGATAGAGAGATGCTGGTAGAATTAGGAGGTGGAAAATGAGCATGAATTGTCCTTCCAAGCCAGGATATGTTATGTGAGATGGAGTCTGAGAAAGAGAGAGAGAGAGAAATAGGGAATAAAGAGGCTCTTCAAAGCGAGGCTTCCTTTGAAGAGAGGAGAGGATGAGATGAGAGAAGGGAGACAGGGTTCATTTTCAGCGGAGTATAGTAAATGTCTCTGTAAGGCAAAATAATCTAAAAAGACTAACCTGCCCTCCCATCCCAATACTGCTGTGAGATCGCCCCATTTTGTGCTCCTCTGTCTGCAGTGTGCACGGCCTTGTTCTAACCCTGGAATAAAGGTGATTGATTGTACTGTACCTAACTGATTTTAGAATTTCTGTGATTGACCAAGATCTTGGAGGCTTTGGATGACTGGGAAGGGAGGGAGAGCAAGATCCGCCCACAAGTCCTTAACTGCAGCCTGGGGCAGAGGTCAGGAAAATGCCCCTAAACAGTGTCTCTCCCTTCCCTCACCTTCTAAGTATCACTGCACTGTGAGGCCCATTCCACTCACAAGAGTCTCCAGCTGGAGCCCAACTGCCGGAAACACGGATACGCCAAGCTGGACTTCCTGAAACTGTAGTAAGACTGAGGTCAGAGAACCACACTGAAAGGAGCAAAAACAGCTCACCACAAGTGAATGGCTCACATATCACACACGAGCAGCAGTCAGGAAAAACAAAAAAAAAAAGCTTTACTGAGAGAAAATACACAACAAATTCCAGAGTGCATGGTTTCAGCCCACTCCATCACCCTACCAGCAGTAAGAACACAGACCGCTCACAGTCACCACACATTCCCTACCTCTGGAAGGAAGTGCAGCGGCTAACATCTGGTCTGAGAGCTGCTAGGAAAAGGGACAGGAGGAAGGAGTATCTGGGAATTCCATCCTTTCACTCTTCCCTTCCTTCCTGGCCTGTTCTAGTGGAATCTGACTGTCCCAGGATGCAGAATTCCTAGCTGGGGACAAAGAAATAGCAGCAAAAGCATTTAAGGGCAAGAATTCAACTGGGACTTTCCTGTTTATTGACTACTGACACAATAGGTGTCTGAGCCCCAGCCACCTTAATCAATCCTTAGATTAATGACTTGTCCTTCAATCCCAAGATATGGAAAGGTGGACAATGTAGAAAGTCAAACCCAGGAGGTCTTTCCCTATATTCTTCCATTAGGAAGGGAGCTGGTGTGAAGCTGGATAGCTTAAAGAATCAAGCAGATAAAGGTTAGAGTGAGTGTGTCTTCTATCACACACGGTACTAGGAAAAATGGTCTGCAGTGGCAGGACCCTTACTGAAGTCATAGTTCAGTCAAGTTTTTAAGATAAGCCAGTCTCTGGCTAGAAGGGCCATCCTAGGAACCCTTACAAGACTTAAGGAGAGGTAGGATATCTGGGGCAAAAAGCTGAAAGGGGTTTCCTCAACCCTAAACCATGGTGGGAAAGCACGAAAGGGCAGAATTCAGGGTCCTTCCATTCCTGAGCCTCCTAAAACCTAAAGAGTTAAGCCCCAATCTCCAACGGCCATGCACAGAGGGTAGGCTGACCCCAGGTGACACCTCCACATCATTACCCTCATTCACTCTCTCCTGTAAGTCCCTTCATAGAGAATATATAGGTAATTAAACTCTGACAATAATTTTAACGTGATACACCCAATTTTGAGTTGCTTTTTAATATATTTATAGATATAAAATTAGGCCTCTAACAGTGATAGGGACAGGGAGATTGCTGCCACCACACAACTTTGTTTAAAGTCAGAGAAGAGGTAACATCCTTCCTATGCTTCCACTTCTGCCCTCCTCCCACCTCCCCCGACCTCCCTCACCAGACCTACTGAGGGGATGATGAGATAAAGAAGAAAGTGAAGGATACATAATCAAGTGCAAAACACTGTGACAAGTTCAGAGAATGAATGGGGTGGAAAGGAAAGTGAAGAGTGTAGGATGGTTAGGGACTCTTATTAAAAAGACTTCCCAGAAAAACAGGATCCTGGGATGGGGTTGCTCGGGGGCGGGGGGTCAGGCGGGCGGAGAAAAAACAATGCAACTGTCATAGACTTTTAAAAAATAAAGAAAATAAAGTAAAAAACCTAAACCAAAGAGAGTGTGGCATTTCTACCACCCCCAGTCTGGCCCCTTGGTACTGAACAGCCAGTTATCCCCCCACCCGCCACCCAAGAAACAAGGGAGATCAAAGAAAAGGAAACCCCATTCCCTACCCCAAACCAGTTAATAAAATAGGCTCTCCCTTCCCCCCAAAAAGGGTTTGGGGAGAAGCCACTTCTGCTGAGTCTATGCGCCTCTCCGTGAAGCCCCATTCCAGGGTCCAACTCCCACTCCCAGATGCTCTCTGTAGGTTTGCTCCCCTCTGGCTTGTCCTCCTGGGATGTCTTTTTTTTTTTTTAAATCTAAAGCAAAAAAGTCCAAAGTGCGTTTCTGCTGAATGTTAGGGCCTGGCACAGGAAAGGGCTGCCCAGGCAGGATCGGGTTGGCAGCCCCAGCCCACCCCTCCTGGGTATGAGGCCTCAGGATGGCATGCACTGCACCCGGTCAGGACCCTCCTCCTCGTCCGATGTGTCTGAGGAGCTGGGAGACTCATCAGAGTCGGCGTCTGTGGCCCCAACCCCAGGTTCTCGCCAGCGCTGTAGGATGGGAAAGGCTTATTAGTAATTTCCTTGGAACAAGGTCAAGCGTGTTAGGTCTTAGTTACAATTTATATGCTCTAGGCCAGGGTCAGCAGAATTTAAAGGGCCAGATGGTAAATATTTTAGACTCATGGGCCTTATCTCTGTCACAACTTTTCAACTCTGCTTTCATGTTGCAGCATGAAAGCAGCCAGACAATGCATAAATGAATGGGTGTGGCTATATTCTAATGATACTTTATTTACAAAAAACAGGCACTTGCCAAAACTGCCGGTTTGCTAAACCCTACCCTAGGGTCTCTTCTGGCATGAGAGAAAAAAACAGAACAGAGCCTGAGAATTATTATTTCTTCTCAACCCCTTCCCCACCCTCATCTGACTGCCTTTTTGAAGACAGCCTGGTGCATGCACGGTGATGGAGAACACAAAGCGGATGCCATCTGTCTCCACTAGTGGCTTGTCCAAGGCTACATGAAGGTTCTGATGGGGATGGGGAATAATGGATAGGAAACCCAACCAGCTTCACCTGATTCCTCCTAAAGTGATGAGGAAGTATGCACTGGAATGTTTCACCCTCTTGAGAGGGTCACTGCCCTTGGGAGCTCACTTCCCACCCCCGCTTACCCGGTGATGGCGTCTCTGTCTCAGGTGGTGCATGAGGAACCAGAGCATGTGGCTATCAAATAGGTCAGTGTGGTGCAAGCTATCTTCATCCCGTTCCCGCTTGTTCTTCTTAATCACCTGGAACCAAGAGGGTGAGGGGATTGGGCGATGAATATAAACCCTAGACTTGATCAAAAAAGGCTGGTGTTCTAGCCCAGTAAAATCTTCCCTTAGAAACTATTATGCTGGAGTGAGCTAGATTAGATTAAGAAAGGATGCTCCAGGTTCATCCAATGAGAAGGTGGATGATTCTTCCAAAAGATGTCCCTATCCCCACTCGACCATTAACTAGAGGTACTTCAAAGCTGTGCATGGACTCCTGGACTGGGACTATTCCTAGAGAGGCAATGACAGGAATATGGGGGATGGTGTTAGAGCAATGCCTTTAAAAAACTGTACAGCAAGTTATTCCTTCCTGTAACAATAAAAACTCCTAACAGTATGTGGATAAGCAGAAAGAAGAAATCCTTAGTCAGTTACTTACATCCTTTAACCCTGTAAGTTCAGTGGAAGTTTCAGCTGTGGGCGCCCATATTTTGACATCATGGTCGAGGCCACTGGTTGCCAGCACAGGCAGGTGAGGGTGGGGCTCAAGACAGTTTACCTGGTCAGGAGAAGAGGAAAACATAGGCTTAGGGGTACGTGGGAATAGTCTAAAAATCACTACTCATTTTACACCAATAACTGTCCTTGATAAAAACTTAAGGTAGCTGCTGGGAGGACATGCCCACCCATCATGAGCCTAGGCTAAAGGGCCCTGGACACAGATTGGGTATAAGATCAGGCCTATCTCTCATTTCCTATGTTTAGGTAGGGGTGGCCTCATCCCCAGACATAGCTCTAGGGGTGGGCGGGTGACTGGCCAAGCATACACTGCCTTCACAAAAAAGCAATGAGGTCCAGATGACCTCATTCTCTCCAGATTCCAAAGCTCCAACTCGCCCAAGGCTGGAAAAAAACATCTCAGTGGCTTTTACCAAGTGGCAAATAAATTTTTTAAAATGAAGAAAACAGCAGTAGCTGCTGAGCCCCTAGAGAAGGCTCAGAGAACAATTACATTCACTTGGCACTGTTCACTAGAACTGGAAGAAGGCATGGGCTGGGAAGAGGCTGAACCTGAACACTGGTGGGGTAGTGGAGACACATGTCTGCTTGAGACCCCTGCACCCCCAGGAGATGGCACCCTGCTGCCTGCCATGAAAGCATAACAGGCTCAGCTGTAGGACAGCAAAGTACAGCAAGGCAGTTTCCTGGGGCACCGACCGCCTCAAGCTCAACCACCCTCCGGATATTATTCACTGAGCAGGAGGAAGGAATTTCAGAAGGTGCGATGGCCTTCTAGCTTAGGCAGCCTCCTATCCAAAGGCACCCATGCCCTCTGCTGTCTGACTCGGAAACATCAGCCTTCCTCGGCAGAGTAGGGTAGTTACCATCCCCACCGGAAGAGCTGGTCGCAGTCTAGCTGCTAAAGGATTTTTGGGCTTTTAGTCAGATGAGGAATAGACAGCAAAGTATCTAGAAGGAAGAAGGTGTGGTCCGGTCCACTCCTCACCTCACCCCACCCCACCCTGTCTTGCAGCTGCCATATTATGTCCAAGAAAACAACCCTTGGCAAACAGCCTCTTAGTTTTCCATGGACCAACCTCTACCTCGCCTGCACATGCAGACAGCGGCTGATGGGAAGCCAAGGTCAGCATGGAAAACTGACATACAGATTTCTAATATTTGTCTTCCATTTTATTAGTAAACAAATTCTCAGAATAGACTGATGCTAAGTCTGAGTGTAATAGTAAAGCAGAAACTACATTTCCCTTTCTCCTTTTATTTCACATATCAGCTCATTGCAAAGTTTATTATCTGAGCTCCTTTAGGAAGTGTGGAAGAAGCTCCACCACCTGGAGCAGAGATGGCACTGAACAGAAAAACTCCACTGCCAGAAATATTATCAAGATATGTTAACTTAACACACACAAACTTGAATTCATTCATCCATCTCTAGATAAGCCCTTGCTACTCTTCTAAAACTCTGACCTAGCTTTGCTTGACAAGGCAGGAGAGAAATTCCTTGGAACTTGAGACTTATGGACAAAGTCAGTGACAAGAGAACAAGACAGTAAGTTACATATAGTACCTGAGTTGGAGCTTGCAGAGGGAGCCGACAGAGAGCTTCTGGGCCAGAAGACCTGGTCGTTTCACCTGACCTATCTGAAGGTCAGGGCTTATCCTGTCAATAATGCCTGAGCAGAGAAAAGAGCTCTGGCCTTAGATGACTGAGTTAGGGGATGCAGAGAATGGGATAAAGGAGCAAAGTGTTTTTGGGAAACTAAAGATGGTCCTGTGACAACCCTTGGCCCTGAATGAAAACAATAAAAGACCTAGATTTTGAGCCAAATACAAAATCAAGAGACTTGGGCAAGGAGGATGAGAATTTCAAAGATCCCTATCTACTTTATGATATATTCTGCATTCAGGCTGGTGCTGTGACCTCACTGCTGGGAGGTTAGCACAAAGTCAGAAGCAACCACGTGAGGACCACACAGATCATTCAGCTTACACAGAGGCAAGAAAAAAGCAGGAATCTCACTGCGAGGTGCAGTCTTTATACCTCCTGTTCTAGTGCTTCACTCTCATGACCACTAAAACTCAGGCCCAGGGCCCACCCATCCAAAGCAAACGCCCTCCCCATCTGAGCACCTGGATTAATCAGCAAACCCTGACATTGGCTGAGCTGACAAGAGACTGGCCTGTGGCGTGATCTGGGCAAAAGACAAGTACTGGCCTGTGGGAAGGGCATTTAGCCCTTTATTTCTTTAGAAAAGAATGCAAGACAATAGTTTATGATCAAGAAAAGATTCACTGGCTTCTTCTGACTTCCTTATGGCTACATGCCTACTATAGAATGCTCACTAAGACTCCAGTGTTTTGGGTTTGTTCACTACACATGGTAGAAGAGGACCTACGTAAGAGCAGGAAATGAAGCAGGCAACAGTGATACATACCTTTAAGTTCTAGACTCTTGTCTATTTACATTCAAGCCATAAAAACCCTGGATCTATACTGGTTCCAGGTCCCCCACATTTAGCAGAAACCAGAAAAGTCTGAAATAGCCTCGCACCAGGATAAGACACACAGAAGAAGAAATGGGAACCCAACTGCAATGAACCATTCTAAATTTTAATACCACTCTCAATAAACCTCATCAAGGAATGGCTGGGTTCTCATAGCTCCTCAGCTATTCCTGAGATGCTCTTAACCAGACTATCTTGAGTAGTCAGGACAATGCAGCTGCTCCAACTGCCTCTTTCTTATTGTCTGTAGTCTGAAAACCTTATAATAGAAAGTTACTGAATCCTTCCTGACTAGGTCTCAAAGGAGGAGAAAAAATTATGGTTAGCTAGATACATCTTAGGAGCTGACCACATTTCACTCCCCAACTCAAGACCCTCAGGCTTCCTTTTTTGCCTTATCTCTATGGAGTCTACTGGACAGGCAGATATGATATGATAATGGGTTGTATAGCAGTCAAAAAAAAAATGGTGGTTGGGCAGGGGGGCATATTTTCTCTCTCCCTATATATGATAAATATCATGTGTGTTTGTATCAGCGTACAGACTATATCCTGATTTTCTCAATTGTCAGAAAAAAAAAATTCTCCTCCTAGCTTGTATCTGCTAATCCAGGATCTCATCAAGATTACTACTAAGCTACTTACTACACTGTGTAGGATGGTGTGCCCTTAACTCTAATGCTTTTGCTCTGGGAAAAGTCTACACCTAAAGATACCTCAGTTGGGCCAGAGATTCTTCCCTAAAATCCCTCTCTTCTTAATAAACCATGCTATAGAGTTACAGAAGACAGGAAAAGGAAAATAATTTCATTAAAACCTCAGCATCCCCATCCCATAGTATAAAAAGACTGTACTGTCTTTTTATTTAGCTGGCTAGACCTCTAAGCCATGGTATTATGTTGTCAAAGTAACAATTCAGTGGCCCTGCTAAAACCTACCTTAATGACTGCAGAGAGTAGGGAGTCAGCCAGCCCAGCAAACCATACTCACCACGCCTCCCTTGTCCCCCTCCATGAACTGAATGATCTGGCAGGATGATTTCTCCCAGAGGAAGATGTGCCCACAGTCACTACCGCTCACCACAAACTCACTCTTGGGGCCATAGAAATTGACGCCTTTTACTGTAATGATAAATGAGGGAATAAACCGCATGAGAGCTGGCATTAGGCCTAAATATTTACCTCACAGGAAATTTATTCACAAATCTAAATCGGCTAAGAGCCAAAAATTTCTTTCACTTTCACAAAACAAATCAAGGGATTATGCATGTAAAATAAGATAGAATAAGAATCACACCAAGTCCCAGAGACTATTTATAGTCTCCCAAAGAGGTCCACGGAGCTGAGCGGTTTACAGTCCTCAGCAACAACCTCCAAGAAACAGCCACCAGCCTTACCAATGCCTCACCTGTCCCAGCCTCAATGGCCCCAGCCTGCCCACTGTAAAACAGCACTGTCCTATGCCCTACGATTATCCTTGGTATCTGTGATTGACCGGTACCCAGTCTGTGCTTCCTGGGTCATTAGGTGACCTAAGACTGGTGGAAGTTTATGCTACAACTGCCTAAAGCACCTGAGGTGGGCTTACTACCAAGACTGAACAATAGGACCCCACCCTCTGAAATTAGTAAGAGAACCCAGGAGTCCCAACTGCTATGTCTAGTTCCATATCCATCACAAAACTGGAACACTTCCTTCTGTATGCCCAAGGACCAAGATTAAATATAGCATTCCCCCTCTCTTCTCACAGTTCAAGAGAAAAAGGAAAACTAACTGCTCTCTCCCAGTCAACATTATAACAGACATCTGTTATGAGCACTAATAACAACCAAGAGCAGTGATTCCAACTTGTCTGTACAAGAATCAAACAGGTTGCTTTTGAAAACTCCTAATCAAGTTGTACCCTATACCAATTAAGTCTGAATGGATGGGTATGGGAGCCAGCTTCAGGTGACTGCATCATATAGGAAAGTTTAGGAACCACAGACAGAACAAAGAAGGCCAATTGTCACAGCAAACCTGGGTGAGGTGCTATCAGCATTCCTCCTCTTCTGCATCATGCAAAAGAACTATTTCTTCTTCTTCCTTGAAAGTACAAGCTCACCCCCCTATTTTAGGCAATTAGTCTTCGTACAACCAACTAAGGAGGGCTCTCCCAAACTCCCTAAGTCGTCTTTTAATCCTCAAGTTACCTGAAATCATAACTTTTCACATATATATATATTTTATATAGTCAGTCTAGTTTACTTACACCCAGACCAAGTAACATCACTATCATGGTGAGAAATGCTCCTGAGCCCTCTCTCCTCTAGCACAGGAGGGCCGATGAAAACTTCAGCCCACTCAGGCTTGTCCTGTGGTGATGGGTAGCCTAACTCCTTTAGGTAACTCTTATTTGCACAACCTAAATGAGATACTGTGGCTCTTCAAATCAACAGGCTTGGGGTATAGAAACCTAGAAAGACAGCCTCACCTGTGGCATTATTTCTGTGGCCCTTATATCTCTTAATATACTGGGCCCCATCACTGTGAGAGGAGTTGAAGAGGTAAATGTCTTCATCATTGTAGCTGGCCAGGAGCTCTGCCAAGAACAAGCACACAGCAGTGAAGGCAAAGGCTGAAAAGAGCTAGGACTAGGAGCAGGGGCTGGGGTGGGGCTTCTTGCCAGCAGTGCCCCCTCCTGACACCCAGGTATAGCGCCCATCTTACTCAGTTGGAACAGCAAGCAATTTAGGTGTCTAGGGTAGACTAGGAACACGCTGCCAACTCAGGGGTAGCAGAATGCTCAGGAAGATCATACCCATTAATTCAGGAATGAGTCAAAGGCTAAGAACCTGCTCAAGCAAGTAGCCTGGACTTTAGGACAGGCCCTGCTAAATATCGCCTGTGGCATTCTGCGAGTGCCTGGCATCTCCAAGGGTCGTGTGCTGTATCCTCCCACTGTGTGCTCACCGTCAGCGACTACTCCCCACGGCTCCACCTGGAGCTACAGCACAGTGGTGAGCACGGGAGGGCACATGCCTCGCTGGCGCAGCAGCTCCCTAGACAGAGGGGGCATGCCAGCCTAGGAGCTGGGCCCTGCTCACGTACCTGTGCCGTCGTGGCTGTACACAAGACAGGTGATGTTTGCTTTGGACTCACTGTTCACCTGCAATAAGGAGCAGATACTGACTGATGCCCCACCCCCCCATTTATTATACCACCTTCAGGAAATAGGCTTTCCTTCACACTCCCCTGTGTCTTCTCCCAGGGACTGAGAGAGAGAGAGAGGCAGAGAGAGGCAGGGAGACAGACAGACAGGAGTACAACTGATGAAACTTGACCAAAATGGGGGGAGAGGGCTTTCTACTGGTTGTCTTCTGTGTGTTAGCCATTTCATATGCACATTATCTTGTTAGGCTTTACCATTGTGGTACAAGGCAGTTATCTGTATCTCTGTTGATAAGAAAACTGAGGCTAAAAGGAGGTAAGGTGACTGCCCAAGATCACAAAACTGCTAAATGGTAGAGCCAGGGATCAAATCTAGGTGTCTTTTGACTCCAAAGTCCAAGCTCTTCCCACTATGTCAACAAGTCTGGTGGCAGGCTTGGGGTTGAGTCAGGGAAGTCTGGAGCCACTGGCCCTTCATGAATCTTACCAGGTGATGAGGGCAGAATTTCTTGAGTACTCCATTGTTTTCATTCTCATCAATCTTCCTCTGGTCATAAATCCTACAGAAGCAGCAATGAAAATATCAAAACTTACAAACAGCCCTTGAAGAGCTGAAATTCAAGGCAGTGACTAGAACAGCAGTCAGCTGGATGTCAGAACAGATAAAAGACATTCCCCAATTCAGCTTCTGGCTCAGGCTTTTCCTCAAAAATCTTCTCCCACCCCTCTTCCAAACCAAAACTCTTTTATCCAGGTACTTCTCATTTCAAGTAGTAATCCTAAGTTCCATTATTTTGAAGTGGCTTATCTCTTCTCTCAGCTTTTATGTCGCTTACTATTTATCTGCACTGAAATAACATTACAGATCCTTTTCTATGTATGCTGTCTCCCCAATGCAGTTCATTACTCACGGGCAGAGACCATGCTTTTTCTAAGTCAGGGGGTCCTCAATCCCTCCCTGAAATTTTATTTGGCTAGTTCTCCCCACAACTATTACAAGCTACCATTTATATCCCAAGACTCCCTCTATTCTTCCACCTTTTCCATCAAGCACCAAACTCCCCTCACCTTCCCTCATCTTTCCAATGCAAACTTTAATCATTTGTGCAACCATTTATGACACACAGATTAGGTGCCAAGTAGTATACCAGGTGCTAGAAATACAGTGAGGAACAAGCCAGATCTAGCCACTGTCCTTGCATATCAGTGTCCTCCAATCTCAAGAGTCTCATCCCTCCAAGGACCTTGTTCGCTTGATTAGCCCTCTTCCTAACCACTGTCTGCCCATTTTCTACAAATCCTCCCACTGACCTTTCCGACTCTTGCTTTTTCTGTCCCCCCACCTCCCCACCACGCCTTCAGTTAGATTATGGAAAAAAGCAATCTGTTTTTAACATTTTCACTCCCTTACCTCCTATTCATTTCTTGATCCATTCTAATCTAGCTTTGGCTTTCAATTCACTACTGAAACTTCTCTGGCTAAAGTCATAAGTAGCCTAACCGCCAATGCCAACAAGATACTTTTTTAGGTCTTTCTCTCATCTTTTGACATTATTCATTACTCCTTCCCTGAAACACTTTCTTTCCTTGATATCCAACCACAAGCACATGGGCTTGTGCTTCTTTGTTCATCCCTTCAATGCTAATGTTGCTCAAAGGTCTAGTCTTAAGTTCTCTGACTCTATGTACGGAAATTTTAAAACCTAGAGTTCAAGTATATGTGAATGCCCAAAAACTGTGCTTCCATGTATTTTTCCAAGGAGATGGGATCATAGTTCTCATATTCTCAAAGAGGCCAGAGACTCAAAAGGGAGGAAGAATTCTGCACTATACTTTCTTCTGGTGATCAAATTCCATTACCAACATTTTAACTACCACCTATATGTAGATACATGTCTCTTAGATCTGTGTCTCCAGCCCACGCTTGTTCTGAGTGAGCTCTACATGTATAGCCACATGCCAAATGAATGTTGTAATGGAATACCCAAAAGTAAAATCATTCTCCTTAAATTAAGATCGTTCAAGATCTACCCTTTCCCCCAAATCTTTGTTAATGGCACCATCCTAAATTCAGGTGACCAAACCAAAAATCAGGTCCTTTCTCTCCTATATTTCTTTCCTGTCAACAATTTGACTTCCTGGGTGTATTTCTTCACTATATCTGCTTTCTCCACTCTTATTCATTTTTTACCTACATTATCTGTAGTAACCTTCTAACTGATTTCCTTGCTCATACTGTCACCAGAATTACATCTAACATGAAAAATTTAATGTAAATTCCATAATTAAATCTCTTCAGTGATTTTGTACTTTCTAGTAAATAAGGTTCAAACTGCTCAATATGGCTGCCTACCACTTCCCAAAGATCCTATACATTACACACACACACACACAAAGCTATGCTTCCTTGTATATACCATGTCTCATCTTGTTATCCTAAAACAACTGTGTTTCCTTTACCTGAAATATTTCCCGTTTGTCTTTAATTTTCTTTTGTGAGAAAGAACAGCATAGTTAATGGTTTCCACCATATTGAAGGAGTCTGAACTGAGTTCAGATACTATGCTCCTTACTAGATGAGTAATATTGGGTAAGTTACTTAATATTTTTAATCCTTATATATCTGTTTCTTCAGAATCCTCCCTGAAGGCAGAAACTACATCTAGTCAACTGCATATCTAGCACAGAGTAAATGCTCAGTAAATGCTAGGTGAATAAACAAACGAATCAATGTATGTTTGTATTCTCCACAATTCATTAACAAATATCCTGCATAAACAGACTATCCAGGAAATGTTTTTTAAATGAACCAATTAAAAAAAAGAAGACAAACAGGAGACTGCTGTACTCTTCAGCAAATATAGCTGCTAACAATCAGATCTGTTTCCCCTCTAAGTCTAAATCAACAGCTTTCAAATATCACTAGGTCATCATTATGTTCCCAAGTCATCAAATTAGTAAAAAAAAATTTTAAGTATTTAATATTTTGGTGTATGGAACAGTCTGTGTTCCTCAATATCTAAAGCTCTTTGCCCTTCTTTTGTCTTCCTCTTTCTTCCCTAAGTATTTATTAAGAACCTATTATATTCTAGATATGATGCTTGAGACTAGGGGTTGGCAAATTTTTTCTTAAATGGCAAGGCAGTAATTATTTTAAGCTGGCAGGGCCATCCAGTCTCTGTCACAGTAACAAATGGCTATGGCTATGTTCCAATAAAACTTTGTTTACAAAAACAGTGTAGACTGCTAACCCCTGTGCCAGAAAGTGGTGTCACAAAATTTTTTAAAAATTCTCTTATTATTTGAGCACAGGACAGAGCTTGTCATTCAAAAAAATTTTTGTTTTTGATTTATAATACTTTATTAAGCAGTTTTAGGTATACAACAAAACAGAGAGCCGTATAGATGTTTTCCATACACTCCCTGCCCTCACACATGTACAGCCTCTCCGATTCTAAATCACTCACCAAAATGGTAGTTTTTTTTAAAAACCTACACTGACATACCATAATCACTCAAAATCTACAGTTTACTCTACATTCTACAGGCTTGGATAAATGTATAATGACATATATCCACCATTAACATCACAGAGTATTTCCACTGCCGTAAAAATCCACTGCCTATTCCTCTCTCTTGCCCCACCCCACCCCTGGCTATCACTGATCCTATTTCCACAGTTTTGCCTTTTCCAGAATGTCATACTGTTGGAACATATAGTATGAAGTCCTTACATACTGGCTTTTTTTTCCACTCAGTAATATGCATTTAAGATTCCTCCATGTCTTTTCATGACTTGATGGCGCATTTCTTTCTAGTGGTAAATTATCTTCCATTGTCTAGATATACCACCATTTCACATACTGAAGAACATGCTGGTTGCTTCCAGAGTTTGGCAATTATGAATAAAGCTACAGTCATCCATGTATAGGTTTCTGTATAGACATATGTTTTCAACTTCATTAGGTAAATACCAAGGAGCTTAACTGTTGGATCACAGGGTGCCAGTTTTGGAGACACTGTCAAACTGTCTTCCAAAGCAGCTGTTATCATTTTGCACTGTATGCATCTTTCCTGATGGTCATCTTTCCATTCACTTATCTGAATATCTTCTTAACTGAGGTGTCTGTTAAGGTCTTTAGCCCGTTTTTTGATTAAGCTGTTTTTTGCTGTTGAGATTTAGGAGTTATTTGTGTATTTTGGATAACAGTCCTTCATCAGATGTTCCCTTTGCAAGTATTTTCTCTCAGTCTGTGGCTTATCTTCTAATTCTCTTGAAAGATACTGTCATGGAGCAGAAGTTTTTAATTTTAATGAGATCTAACCTATCAATTTTTTCTTTCATGGATATCTTTATAATGCTGTATGTAAAAAGCCATCACCATACTGAAAGTCTTCTAGGTTTTCTCCTATGTTATCTTCTAGGAGTTTTATAGCTTTTGGTTTTACTTTCAGGTGTATTATCCATTTTGAGTTAACTTTTGTGAAGGGTGTAAGGTCTATATCTAGATTCAGTTTTTACACGTGGATGTCCAGTTGTTTTCAGCACCGTATATTGCAGAGCCTATCTTTTCTCCATTTCTTGCCTTTGCATCTTTGTCAAAGATAGCTCAACTATATTTATGGGGGTCTATTTCTGGGCTCTCTATTCTGTCCCTTTGATCTATTTGTCTCTTTCACCAATACAATGCTGTCCGAATTACTGCAGCTTTATAGGAAGTCTTGAAGTTGGGTAGTATCAGGCCTCCAACTTTGTTCTTCTCCTTCAATATGGTGTTGGTTATTTTAGATCTTTATTTTCATCTCACAAACTTTAGAATCAGTTTGTTGATATACATAAAATATCTTGCTGGAATTTTGACTGGAATTGCACTGAATCAACAACTCAAGCTGAGAAGAACTGACATCTCCACATTATTGAGTGTTCCTGTGCCCTTGACATTTTAAATCAAATAAAGAATAGCTTCAGCACTGTCTCTACATCCTTACTGCATTTCTTTCCACAGGCCTCCAGGTCCTCACTAACTTTAAGTCCTTCTCTTCCCTCCTCGCCTCCTCTTCCTGCCAGGTGCCTTTAACCTAGTGTTCTCTCAGCGTCACTGATAACAATAGGGAAGCAAAGGGACTATTTATTCACTGGTTTATAAATCTGGGCCTACACTAAATCCTTTAGCAATAAATTTACATGTCAACCAATCAGACTGCCAGATCTATCGCCACAGACTCATTTATCTGACATAGTCTCCTTCCCTTCAGCCCTGTAAGTTCTTGCACCAACCCAAGCAGGGCTTAGCAGCAGAGACTCAAACTGATACCACCCTCACTTGCCTACCTTTTTTCTTTCTCCCTGCCCTCCCTGCTTTTTCATCGTATTCCGAAAAGCATTACTCTCTAAGGTTTCCCTTAAATGCTCCTTCACAGTCCTAAACTAAAATTCAGTGTTTACGATGCAAAAGCCTTGAGGATAAATAAGTGATTTTTCTGTACTCCCTTAGAGGTTTTCCTTCAGGCTAGTGAAAGCTAATAGTGCTATGATATAAAATATTCAGCAAAAACATTTTCAGATTCGTACTGTAAGGTGAACCTAAAGTTCTGTCAAAGAAAGAATCAGAAAGGAGGAATTCCAATATACTCAGTGAACTGAAGAAGTGCCAGAGAAACTGAAGACGATGCGAGAAGACTACGGTGTTGGAAGGGCCATCTGCTCACAGGCCATCAGTCCAGTTCAGTCCCTCAGTCGTGTCTGACTCTTTGCAACCCCATGGACAGCAGCTCACCAGGCTTCCCTGTCCATCACCAGCTGTGCCTCAAAATCTACATGTGCTTCTGTCAAGTAAACAGCCTATTATATGCTGAGAATTTGGCACATACAAAGGGATAAAGAACACTGAGGCTGATAAGAGTCAGATCTGAGTATTTCTCCTTGTGTCAAAATACTGAAACAAATTTCCAGCCCCATTCTAACCCTCAGAAAGTATCAGTTTTGGATAAAGGCATTATCAATTGCAGTTATCAATACAGACGATGCCTCCATTTTCCTCCAAACATCAAGGTCCTTGTGGTTGAATTATCTGAATTCACAGACTTTTCAATGAATCCAGATTGCTCAAGCAGGAAATCCAAACTAGAAATTTCAGTAAATGCTTTTTTGGAGGAAGTAGCACTTGAAAGTTCCAACAACTAAACCCCTTTTTTTGATCAACAGCTTCTTATCTTAAAAAAAAAAAAAATCTACTGCTACACATTTGCTATTGGTCAATAAAGAAAAGGAATCTAGAAGGCAATGAAAACAGGGGAAGAAGAGAGTAACAAAGTTCCCCAATTCTCTTGCAGGGTTCTTCAATAAATTAAGATCGTTTCTCAGGGATTTCTAAAAATTTAGTCTATCCCTGTGACTATTAATAAAATTAATTACAGAATACAGTTATAAAAAATACCCTCTCATTTAAAAAGGAAGATCATGTATTTCACCACTATCAGAAAAGCATAAAGTCATTTATTTTTCTATAAACCTCTCCGTCCTCCCTTTCAAACTGATGACCCCTTGGCAACTAAAAAAATAAACTTGAGACAGACCAACTGGGTAGAGATGGGATGTAACCCTTTGTCAAGGGTTACATCAAGGAAGGGTCAAGGAAACTAACTGCAGTCACATGTAGTCATGGACTGAATCCATAAACTCTGTTTCCCTTAGGATATGCCTCAATAGACAATGTTACAAGAAATGTTCAAAATAAAAATATCACTAGGGATAAAGAAAAGTGGTTCAGGATACTAGGAGCCAAAATCTCTAAGTTCACAATGAGAATTTCCAAGTCAAATAAATCATTTCTGAATCTGAAACCAGTATCCAAAATTTCTCGTGCATGTTAACTTACATATGAAAAATGGTGGAAAGTATTTACTAAATAGAGCACTTGCTAGTAAACCTGGGTTTACGCTAACTACTAGGTGGAGACCTTGGTCAATTCATCAAACTTCCTTAAACTTGATAATATTTGCAACATGTCAAGCCATCCCTCAGGGAATGTTAATTAGGGAACAGAATATATCACAGAAGTTTAAACTCTTTGGAAGATGGCAAAAAATGAAAGATGGTGGTTAATGGATTTCTACGCAATTCATACCTTTCCAAAAAGGACAGCTGGTAGTACACAATGCATCACAATGTCAAACTCTCAAAGACACAAAACAGCCACAGACTCACCTTACAAACTGGTCTCGTCCACCTACTGCAAATTGGTGGGTATTGGCAGGATTCACATAGATTGTATACAGCCCCACTTTCTTCTCCTTTTCTTTTGTCACCACCAGTTTCCTTCAAGAGTAGAAAAGCATAAACGTTATATTCTCCTAAAGATTCAGATAGTCATGGCAAGTGAGAACAGAGAATAATGCAGACACAGCTAATAAGAAACCAAGCAGATTTTCATTTGGAAAGAAAGAAAAAAGTGGTTTTGTTTGTACACTGGAACAAGAAAAGAAAAATATAACCCACTGCCATATATATTTACTAAGTGCTACTTTGGAAATGGAATAAAACTTGTAAATTTATGGTGTTCCTCAAGAAGTATAAAATTAAAGGTGTATGAAAGTATCACTCCCCAGAGCCTCAGTCTGAGTTCAATACGATGATAACCAATCACTAAAGAGACAATACCCACATTTTCCCACCTTTTACTTACAAATATATCTTTCCAATCATCTGGGAGCAGGGAGTGAGAAGAGGATGAATCATAGGAACAGTGGACAGAAAAGACTTTAAGGTCAGAATCTATCTCCCAGATTCCAGAAAAGCATCACTTAAAACACAGTTTTAAAATGCACAAAGAAAAATGGCAAGCTACAGTTAATCCAAAGGGAAACAGTATTAGTGTTCCCTTATTTGAAGAAAATTAGGAGAGGAGATTCTTATGAAGACAGCTATTTTTAAGGCTGTAAATAATTTCTGAATTATTCTTCTGGTTGCACTACAAAAACCGGTGATTCTGAAGAAGGCATGGGACCCCAAGGAAACCTTATAAAATTTCCACAATTTGTCCCACCTTAAGGGTGGTACTATGACTACTCTTTCCAGATTGAAGTGTCCAACCTGTCAAATATGACATCATAAGGATTAGTAAATTTATAGAAGACAGACAGGAAAAGTATTTTTTTTTTTAGTGCCAAATAATATTCTATTATCTGGGTGTACCATAGTTTATCCATTCACCTACTGAAGTACAGCTTGGTTGCTTCGAAGTTTTGGCAATTATGAGTAAGAGTTTTCATTTTTAATTCTAAGCTTTTGTTCATTTCTGGTACTTAGAGAAAGAACTACAATTACGACAAGTTTCTTTGTAAATGATGTTAGCATCCTCTCTACATGGTCAAAGTCACTCCAACCTAAACTGTTCTAGGCAAAGAGGAGAAATTTTATTAGTATTTAATTTTAAAATCTCTGTAGTTTTCCATTAAAAGAATAGCGTATAGAGGTCATTAAAAATAAATGTCATTAGGGAGAAAATAATACACGCGCACCCAACCCTCAAAAACACAAGGCAGAAAACAAATCAAAAAAGAGTTTCAGGAACAAAATTAGCAATGGAGAAGAGGCAGCTCTGAGTTTTAGATAAGGAAAGAGGAATAGGAGTAGATGCTGTTCTTTTTCAGAGAACTGTCTTCTTTCCTAAGCAATCTGGGTTTTTTCAGGAGAGGGTCAGACCAGCACAAAGTTTACCAGGCAGAAGCGCAATGAGGACACTGAGGTGAAAGATTATGAAGCACTGGCTGCACTGTCATCTAATTCTGATGAAGAGCTCAGTTTTCCCATGTCTCCATGTGTTCACCTAAAACAAACAATTCTCTCTCCCAGTATATAAATACACAGAGTATCTTGAGCTCTCCAGGGAAAATGCAGAGGTATAAATATGATTAATAATGGTAGCAGGGGGAAAAAAGTTTTGACACCAGAACAAGGCAGCAGACAAAATCATATGAAACAAATTTACCAAATTTTGCCTTAAAACTTGCAGTTTTAATGAGCAGGTATGCTCTAACGGAAATTATGGATCAAACCAAAGGATTCTTTTGAAGAATATCTCAAACTAGCTTCCACTGGCTAAAGGAATATCCACCCCCCACAGCTCTAAATCTCTAACTCTTTTCCTATAACATTAGACAATTTTACCAGCTTCCAGAGAGTCAGCTATTAATGGATACAAAAAGGAAATATCCCCCTATGTCAATCTCATACAAATATGCCTTGCATAGAAGCAGATGTTAAGGCACCAGCTTAACATATTCTAGCTACTACCTTCACATTCAGTCCTCTGACCTCTGGGCTTTTACTAATTCAACCCCTAAAGCAAAAACTTTTTGAAGGCCCACTGTCTCTTATTTTCCCAGCTCAGAATCTGGACCTCCTCCTACTATAAGTTCCTCCTATGTTCCCCCGTTTAATTTCTATCCCATCTATTACGGCTTGCATCTAGATTCACTGGTCAACTCTCAGTCAGATTTTCTGCCTACAACATTTCATCACACATTCCATTATTTGCCAAAGTCATGTGCTCTGCCCAATACTTGAACTAGATTCCCAGTTTCTTGTGGGTTAATACAGTTTTCCTCTGAACCTGATTCAGAGGATCTTGTTCTGCTTCACAACTCTCTACCAGAGCAGACCAAACAAACTCCTATCATTTTTTCCATCTTTGCCCTTCCCATTCCTCTCTGGAAAACTTGCTAATGTTCCATTATTATCATAGAACCACAGAAGTTTAGAATTGAAAATAACAAACATCATTCAGTTTAGGAGGTTAAATGATTTCTCAAAGCTAGGTAACTACACACTAGGACTGAAGGTAGCACCTTTATCACCCAGGCCTGTTCCCTTTCCAGTAGAAATCCATTCATTCTCTCTCAACCTTTATCCTCTTGAAGTTTTACACAAATAACCAACATATCCTTTCCACAAGCCGAAAACATTTCCATCCTTTAACCAGTTATTTTAAATTCTTCCACTTTGTAGACAACTTTTTCTATACTTATCTCTCTAAAAGTCTGATAATAATCAGCCTTAAGATTATATCACCTAATTAACATATATTTTACTTGTATGCTTTGTAAAATCAGTGATATCCCTTACTCAATATTGGTATTCACTTATAAGATTTAAGATAATTTTTAAGGGGGGAAAATATCTGTAAAGTTGAATACTCTGTGATACCACAGTAAACTTCCAGTATGGCATATTAAATACATATATATATATAATTTTTAAAATAAACAATTCAGTAAATAATCTAGATAATCTATCAACTAGGTCGTCATTAAACAAACTATGGTACACCAATGCTATGATATACAATGTCATGGTTAAAAATGAGGCAGGCCTTGTTGGTTTAACGTAGAAATATCTCCAAAATGCATTATAATGTGAAAAAGGCAAATTGCAAGAATATAACATACATGCAAGTTTATATATACATACAATTATCCCACATTGGAGGGGAAAGTGTATATGTATATAGTAAAGATACGTAAATGTAACACAAGAAGGACTGAAAAGGCACTCAAAAAAATTTTTTTTTTCAAAATTTTTAACAATAGTTATCAACAGCTAGAAAAGTGGGAAGCAGGGAGGTATACATGAGGTAGCATTTACATTTTGTCCATGTCCTTCATTACTCAGTTTTTTAAAAAAGATGTGTCTTATTATAAGCTCAATAAAAATGAAAAAAGTAAACTAATTAGCTACAATTTAATCAGTTATAACCACGGTGCCAGGCTTCCCTGGTGGCTCAGTGGTAAAGAATTCGCCTGACAGTGCAGAGACACAGGTTTGATCCCTGATCCAGGAAGATCCCACATGCCATAGAGCAGCTAAGCCCGTCTGCCACAACTACTGAGCCTGTGCTCTGGAGCCCAGGAACCAAACCACCGGGCCCTCGGACACAACTACTGAAGCCCACGTGCCATAGAGCTCGCGATCCACAACAAGAAAAACTACCACAGAGAAGCCTGCACACGCAACTACAGAGTAGCCCCACTCACTGCAACTAGAGAAAAACCAGCACAGCAATAAAGACACAGTGCCATCAAAAAAAAAACCCATGCTGCCAGACACTATGCTGAGGTATCAAACACATTGATCAATCACCCTCACAGAAACCAGAGAAAGAGAGAGAGAATGGGACTGACTGATTGTATTCACAGTGAGGCTGAAGACACTGAAGCTCAGAAAGGTTACATGGGTCACTACTAGTAACGCTCAAGTTCATATCTGACCTAGGCCTGCCTGGATACAAACAAGACGCTATGCTCTATGGTACCACACAGCGAAAAGTGGACATAATTTACCCATTAGTCTCAGATTCATGTAAAAATGAGCTATGATATGATGTGTTCTACTACAACTACGAATATTTTTAAGAATCACCATTTACTTTTTATGTTTCTATACATAACTGAAGTGAAAACTACACATGAGCATATCTCTGCTGCTGCTGCTGCTAAGTAGCTTCAGTCGTGTCCGACTCTGTGCGACCCCACAGACAGCAGCCCACCAGGCTCTGTCGTCCCTGGGATTCTCCAGGCAAGAACACTGGAGTGGGTTGCCATTTCCTTCTCCAAGCATATCTCTAAGCTGCCAGTAATGTGCTTCTTGTGGGGAAGCTCGGCGGCACCCAAATGAACTAGAAGATCATCCAGTTATTACAGCCTACAATATAATAAGAAAACTGAACTCCGCTTTAGAAATGAAGCTAGGCTGAATAGTACTTTATTGCTGAGAAATAGATAAACAACAAAGAAGTAAGGAATTTCCCTAAACTAATCCATTTCTTATTATAAACACAAAGGAACTATTCTCTAGGACATGTGCAATATCTTCCAAACCTAGGACATCTGCAATACTTTCAAGGTCAAGAAATTCAAATTCTGTAAAAGTACAACTGCTATGCTTACGAAGCTGGGCGGTCTTGTCTGAGGTCAATGGTGAAGACAACTGCATCTTCACCGGCAGACAGAAACGTACAGGGAGAGTCTGGTTCCAGGGCCAACTGAAAGAAAAAAAAGAGAAAGGATAAGGTTTCTAAAAGATTAAAATTAAAGGTTGTCTAGTTCATTCCTTTATATTTATGAAGGGCTGCATTTAAAATGTCTCAGCAAGACAAATATCTAGCTTTTTTGGTTGTAAAATCCCAGGAAAGAAGGTAATTTAATAAGCCCATTCTCTCTTGTGTGTGAATTACTTACAGCTTGTTTATTCCATATAAGTCAAAAGGACAGGTGATGTGCTACTTTTAAGTCTCCAGGGGATTTGAACAGTGATACCAAAGGAAAACACTGCCATTAGAGCTCATTCTCAAAATCAATTCCACACCCTCAGGTGGGGAGAGAAATGGCACCCAAGTTTCATTCTCCACAGCTTAGTTCTAAAAGTTATCTAATTAGTAGTCTTAAGAATCAAAGAAATAGGCAATTTTTACATGTCTTGAGTTATCTGGGCAAGAAAAGTTATATATTTTATACATATTCAGGTCCACCTAAATATTTGTGTAGGGTTTGTAAAAAGAGAGGATCATCTTTTCATGGCATGGAAGAAAATGGTGCCTACTCTGAGACTAGGCAGCTCTTGGCTCCTCACTGCCTGCCACCATAACTATTTGGCCTATATTCCCAGCTCTAAATAGGGCTTCCAGAAATAGTGCTGTTTATGCACTGAGTGTTGTGAACAGGAAAGTTGGAGCTCTCACATATGAGAAGCCAACAGCTAGCACCTTTGAACTGTTAAAATGTTCCAAATACAGTAAGAGTAAATTTTAAACGCTTGGGAGGCAAAGGGGACCTCAAGGATCTCCAAACCAACCATGGCTCAGCTTAGGAGTCAAGGATAATCAGGTGACTGCTGCACGTGCAAGATTTAGAGATCTCTCAAATACTTGCCTTCTGAGAAGTTCAGGGAGACTGCTTTTTCTCCAATCTTATCTACAAGTCTTAGGAGTGAAAGAAGTGATGCAGGTGTGCATAACCAAGGGGACACAGTGGACAGAAACACTGGCGGGCCGTGGCCGAGACCTGCAGAGGAGCTGAGGTATGCAGCCTCCGGGACGAGGGCTCTCTCACCTTGTGGGACGCCCCCTTGTGCTGGGCCACGCGCTTTGTGTTCTTGCAGCACTGCGTAGCTGACAACTCTGCCACCCGAACCTGTCCATCACGGGCACACATGGCCAGGGTGGAGTCACCACTGTTAGGAAGGAACTTGGCCTGGAGGTTAATTAAAAAAACAGGACAAGAAATTGAAGAAGTGAATTTGAGAGGTAAAAATGTGAAGACAACCCCAAATCATCCCCTTTTGCTATACAACAGCTGGGTATAGGATAAGTACTCAGGTGAACTAGGACTAACCCAGTAAGAAAGAAAGGTAAGGGCAAAAGAGAAGAATCTTCCTTGGTTCAGGAAGTCAACAAAAATTTGCTACAAAGGTAAAGGAAACCAAAGGGGATACTGGGGAAGGAAAGAGAACATGCTTAGGGATAAATGTCTAGTACTATACGATGGATGGGCTGATAAGTAAAACTTCCAGAGAATAAAAATGTTACCTTTATCTATCAATGGTTTATTAAGTAACCAGTCACGGTCTAACTGCTTAGCTTCTACTGTTATTTAATCTTTATAACCCTGTACATTATTAGTCCTATATTAAAGGCAAATAAACTGAAAGACAGAGGTTAAATAAACTTGCCCACAATCACACAGCTAGTTAAGGGTTTGGGCCAAGATTTAGACTCAGCAGTCTGGTTCAAGAGCCTCTGTTCTTACATTATATGCCTCCAAGGACGGCATTTAGTGCCTTCCTGATGATTTCCAAACACTCTTCCTATCATAATGAGGCTTCTAACAGTTTCTGTGCTCAAGCAAACAAAAGATGACCATGGGTCTTTCAGTGTATTTAACTCTTCTAAGTCATTATGGGAGCCAAGGTATGACCACCTCCTGATATCTAATTCCTACCACAACCATCACTCTTACTCCAGCAGCAGCTCAGGCCTATCTAACTCATGCCCAATTTTCTCAACTGCCAGTCTGTTCCCTTGCCTCACCTGGAAGACATTGCTCTTGTGGCCGCTCTCAAAGTCCAATACTGGCTGCCGCCGCACCCAGTCCCAAACCACCACCTTCAGGTCATCGCTGCCACTGGCCAGCCAGGTGCCGCGTTGGTTAAAGTGCAGAGTATTGACACAGCCAGTATGGCCTTCAAGCCCATGCTGCAGGCGGAAACGCTGCACAAAGACTCTTGCCCCACAAGCCTCATACACAAAGCGGGCACTTGAACCCAGCTCCCGCTCCCGAAGGGCCGGAAGGGCTTGCCAGCGAGGTCGGGGCAGGGCTGATGTCTCTGAGGACACCCAGTCTTCCAGGGCCCGCTCATCGTCCGATGAGTCCTGGTCACGATTGGCCCGCTTGCGCTGCACACGATGACGAGGGTGCTCCTCCTCCTCCTCCTCCTCCTCTTCCTCCGAGTGGTCATGGACTTGGCTCTCATCATTGATGGAATAATGACCGGTGTCCTCCATGCTGTCAGAGTCCTTGTCTTCACCTGAGCTCTCTGTATCTGTGCCTCTACTCTCTGTGCTGGTGCGGTTGGGGCCACCATCATCCCCAGTCAAGCTCAAGCTCAGGTCTGAAGCCTCCACTTCAATGCCTGAGGATGTCTCCCTCCCCTCCTCAGCACCAGACATCTCCTCTGGACTGCTAGACAGGCTTCCTGCATGTTAGTAAGGAATGGGTAGGTGAGGGGGCAAAATAAGGAAATAAGATAGTGACCAGAAGGATTTCCTCTCCATAGTCTAAAAAAATCACCACATCATGAGACCCATAAACCAACACTGGTCAAAAATGTTTTCATTACAAACGCTCCTAAAGAGTACTTTCTAAGAGGGAATCCGGAAAAGATTAAAGCCAGAGATACACACAAAGAACTGCAGGACACACAAATGAGAACTGTAGGACAACCAAAGATTATAATAAATTCTAAAGAAGCAAAGCATTGGCAGATTTTATTAAAGTATGCCTGAGTCTAACTACCTTAGGCTCTGTTTTGCTAGATGGGCATCCATTAGTTTTAGCAATTAAGCTGAATATAAGGAAAAAGAACAGCCATCCCCAGCATGAGTTGGCTCGAAAAGAAAAGTTCATCATATTCTAGGTCTGCCATACTGGTAGTTATAAAATAACTGGGTCACTAAGCAATATAATTCCCAACAGTCAGATACTGAATTCTCCTATCTAACACCCAAATTATATACCAGTGAACACTCAGGCAATGTTCTGGAGCCCACAGGGCTACAACTTCCAAACTAAGGTCAAGATGTAAAGAAAGGAGAGAGCAAATGAGAATTTTAAACACTGCTTATGGCCTCCTTTCCTCAGATGACTACAAATTTTATCTTGCCAGAAGTAAAGGCTATTAGGAAAGTCTGACCAGTTATGTGTGACTCTGGGATAAGCTATTCAACTCCAGTACCACACTGATGGTTTAAGGATTCAAAGTGGGAGTATCTTCTTGCTTAGTCATCTGGATAAGAGCAGTAATTTCTGAAGCTCTCTGAAGCAATGAAATCTCTTTTCAATGAACTCTTAGACAAAGTCTATTATGGATAAGAGATAAACACATATGTCTTTGGTTCAAGTAGTGACGAAAGGTTGGAAGACACATAAACATCTGTTTTCAAAAAGCACTTCAACTAAGAGTACAGTGTGAAAATGGCTAGGAACTGGAAGGAGGAAAAGTGCAGCAATGTGCTCCTAGGAACTACATTTGCTGAGGCTCCTGTGTGCAGTGAGAAAGATTAATAAGTATGGTTTTTGAAATGAAATTTGGTTTGAGATTGGGAGTGGTGAGAAGGGATAAAATTTCACACCCATCACTTCTGTGGAGAAGAAAAAAAATAATACATCAAACCTCCTAGCACATATTGTTAAAATTATGATTAACAAACAAAGATGACTTTGGGGGTCTTACCACTTTAAGATAAGGGCCAGAGCATATCACAAGCTCAGTAAGAGGACCCTAACAGTCAATGACCAGATACAGCTAAGAGTTGGCAATTTTTTTCTATAAAACACCTGATAAAAATTTTAGGCTTCACGGGCACAAGTACTCAACTCCATGTTGTAGCACAAAAGCAACCATAAATATAAATGGGGCATGACTGAATTCCAATAAACTACAAAAATAGCAGCCTGCAGGCCATAATTTGCAATCGCTGATCTAGCTAATGGCCAAACTCCAATTCTCTATCTCAAACCCCTCTAGAGTCCTGTGTCTTTCAACTAAGCCCAGTGAAAAATCTTAATCATTCTCCCTTACAGAAAATAAATGAACAGCAGTGGTAAGAAAGGAACAAAAGGGGTAGAAAAACAGCATGTTGAAAGTCTCCCCTTTCCTTCCTCAATACTTCATTGCTCTACCAATTACATCAACTAGAATTTAGCCTATAATCTCTTTTTTTAGCCTATAATCTTAACCTACAAGGTGCTAAGGAAGACTGGACTCTATGCTGCCCAACTATTCTGAAGGACTTTCTCTAGTTTGCAAGTTTGCTCTGAGCTGATGCACTGGTCAAATGACCCACGGGTAGCTATATTCTATTAGAATATTGATATTCTGCCTTCAAATATGTCCTAGACCCAATAATTTAATAGTCTTCCCTAAGAAAAAGAAAAGAAGAAAAAGAAAGAAAGAAAAAAAGCCCTATCCCCGTTATTTATAACTATCTCTCATCTAATCTATTGAACTATGATCTACCATGGAAAGAGACCTCTCCTTATAACTGGGAAGTCTTGCCTTCCCAACAACTACCTTGGTTCCACCACCAATTAGATCATCTTTTCCTCCTTTATTAACAGCATCTCCTAGGTTTTGTCCACCCTTACAAACTTTCAGAATTCCAAACCACTTTACCTCTTAGAGGCACAACTCCATTACTGATCTTCTGAAAATAATCAAGATAATAGTTGAAGGAACAAAAGTACCAGAAACAAAAAGGTGTTTCCTATGTACTTCCAACACTCAAAACAACACAGGAAGAGTTCATTCCCTCCCTTAAAATCCAGGTCTCCACTCTCTTTGCAGTCGACAGCAAAAATCGCTTCACCTTCATTTTGTTCCCTTACCATTAGCTAAGTCTGTTTTGCCATCTGTGCTGCTCCCTTTGCTGGACATCTTGAATGATATTTACTGTAGCCAGCCTGGATTGAGGAGAGGAAGAAAATGAAAAAATTAGGAAACAATCTGGGAAAGATGATAAAAGGCACCAGGAGATTTAGCAATGTACAGCCTTTGTTATTTTTATAAAAATGATTTTTTGGTGTGTGCTCAACAGGGTTTCTCAGTTGCTGAAAACTATGTCAGATATTATCCCACGTCTAAATTCCATAAAGGGACGTATCTTTGGGAGGCCAACTCCCATCTCTTTACCTTAACAAGTAACTGGCAGTGATTTTTCAGATGGGGGAGGAGGAACTGAAATAAATCCTGGAACAGCAGGTCTGTATCAAGTGACAGGTACTGCAAGCAAGCAGTCTTAATACAAAAAAGTTAGCTCCAGCACTACCCTCTTAGGCAAAAATCTTGTTGTGAATAATCTCTTATGTATCCACAAAGTCTATAAAACATTTGTCTTCACAACATGAAGAGACGGGTCAGAATGAGTATGTTTTTACATACAAAACAGCCGAGATGGAAGAAACTGAGCTCTTAGGATAACACCTTGAGCTTTACGGCCATTCAGATGCTTAGTTTCAAACTTACAGGCACAGACACAAACTAAGGTTTATAAAAAATACAGTCAAATTAGAACCCAGGAGCACCCTACCCCAAAAAAGAGCCTAAAAGTTTTTCTTTCCCTTACAACTAGTCAGTCAGTCATCAAATGCAAAGATGGAGAAGAAAAGAGCAACATTTCCATTAAAACCATCTCAGTCCATTTCATAAAATGGCAAACACTATTTCACCTATTTCCATCAACTTTCACCAGATTTGTCTGTTTAGCGAGGCCCTAACTAGGAACTGGGGTACCTAACTTTATTCCTTTTATATCCCTTTAAAACAGTCATTATTTTTTCAGGGCTTCACTCCCACCTCAAGCAAATTCCAAAGAGCAAAGAATATTATTCAGACCAGAATTCTGTTAAGCCCTTTCAGTGCCTTGGACAAAAGGCACTGGTAAAAGACAAAGTATGATTATGACTCCAGTCCTTGTACCCAGGCACACTGGCCTCTAATCTTTCAACAGCCCTTTCATTCTCCAAACAATTATCCCAGAAGCAGCCCCATCCTTATCTTTACCCCCTACTCTCTCTACAGAAATCAAAGTTGCTTCGAAGAAAAAAAAAGTATCCTCTGCCAAGAGACAGCTGCCCAAAACTTGCTCACATTAGGCCAGGACGAGGCAGTAGAAATAATCCAAGAGCAGGACTGAGGCTGAATTTGAAGGAGGGACACCTGGAAGGGTGATGATGAAAGACAATGTCAACAAAAAACAGATCTGTGAAGCCACATAAAGAAAAACAGAAGAGCTATTTGCAGAGCAGGCTGTTTTATTCCTCCTACTTCAATGATATATTTTTGTACAGTGTTCTCCTCACACAGCACTTGTTTTTTCCTCTCAGTTGTCCCTGTGTATATTCTTTGGTAACTCAGCAGTATCTTCTTCCCCACCTAGGGCTTAAATTAATTATATTAATCACAAAAGTCTATGGAGCAGGGAAAAACAGTTGTATTACTTTAAGATTAAAACCTAAGGTCATCGACGTACCTTATGGTCAACTGCTAAAAGAGCTGTCTTTTCATCTCAAGAATCGAAACTGCCAACCACACCATGCATCCCACCTCACTAATATCCACTCCCACGAAAGCATTAAAGCAGCTCCAGAGGCCCTTATTGCAAAACTCAATCTCATCAACTTCTACAGAAGCCCAGAGTGCTCAAACTTCAGTCTCATAATGGCTCTAGAAAACATCTGCTGGGCTGGAGGAGCCAAATGCCTAATGCTTACCTAGCTCTGAGAACCACTTCTCAGAAAAGGAGAGCCATGGAGTTCAAACTATACCCAGAAGTTGCAGAGAACATCTGCCTTTTGGGAAACTGGTTTAAGGTTTTTACAAGGAGGGATCTTTTCTTTGAAGAAAAAAGCTGACAGAACTTATTCCTAAATTCAGAAACAGAACATAGTCTACGTCAACTCTGTTTAATCACTGAGCTGATAGCTTCTAAAGGTCACATTTTAGGGGCCACAGAGTCCAGTGAAACTAGTCACAGGCTGAAAATTAGAAGTGCAGGATTCTAGTACTAGCTACATTTATTAACAAACTTTGTGACATGACTTTGGATATGCTGCTTAATCTTCTCTGGGCTTCATTTTCTTCTTTTGTAAAATAGTAATTACAGAGATGGTACAGTTAAGCAGAATTATATGTTAAAACTTCTGCAGAGGATGTTCTTAGAGAAGTGATCTCAAAACTGATTATGAACTTCTATCAGTGAAAACTCTGCGCATGAACCCACATTTGATCAATTCACATTAATTACTGAGCTTGATTTTTCTAGAAAAAATTAAAAATTTCAATATTCTTTCCCTATACACCACTGGATCATCTTCCATACCCCATGTGAATTGAAGTGACAGTCAGTCGTGTCTGACTCTTTATGACCCCATGGATTATACAGTCCATCGAATTCTCCAGGCCAGAATGCTGGAGTGAGTAGCCTTTCCCTTCTCCAGGAGATGTTCCCAACCCAGGGATTGAACCCAGGTCTCCCACATTGCAGGCGGATTCTTTACCAGCTAAGCCACCAGGGAAGCCCTCCATACCCCATGGGGTACATATATTCCATTCTGGGGGACTGCTTCTCTAAAAAGCCAAGAAATGATGACAGTGATAAAACTACAATTACTTTTGGGATGAGTTGTTACTATATAACTGTCTGTCAAAATGAAACCTAAAAACATCTCAGCACTATGGCAGAAATTAGAGTAAGTGCCCAAATTAAAACAGGCTAAAGTCCTATGACTGTTCCCTAGGTCTTAAGCATATGAGTCACTCTAGAATTTCCACCATCACCAAAAAATGCAATCTTATTTTACAATCTGAGTTTAGGGACCATATCTGACCCAAACGTAAATTACTTTTATTCTTTAATGCACTCCATTCCCAACAAATGCACTGTTTTTACCTTGATCATTTTCCATGTAAAATCCAGTCCGAGTCTGGAAGCACTCACTGCCCCAGGTAGCTGGGGGGGTTAACTAGACCAGCTCTACTGCCTGTACGCTAAAAATAACCATAACCCCTGCCAAAGTGAAGGTTAAAGAGTAAACTATTGGGGGATGGTGAAAAAGACCCAGGTATCATTTCAATTTCTACCTAAAAAATTCTAATGACTGAGATTTCTCCTGTCTTAAAAAGGCCTTAAATTTTTGACCAAGTACATGATAAAATATTAGCTAAAAATCAAGAAGAGAGGGAGTTAATACAGGATGGAAGAGTAGTCTGTGGAAGAAGCACCAAACATCTCTTGTTTAAAACCACTGGGGCTGCTTTCTTATCCTAACACTGATGCAAGAGTTATACAAGAGACCAGGTATATTAGAACAACAGGATATCCAAATGTAAAAAAAGAAACTCGATTTGTACACTGAACGATATACAAAAACTAACTCAAAATGAATCACAGACCTAAATGTAAAAGCTAAAACAATACAACTTCCAGAAATAATAAATAAAGTAGATAATCTTTGTGACATCAGGGTAGGCAATATTTCTTAAGACAGGGCAAAAAAGCACAAACCATGAAAGAAAAAGTTAATTAACTGGATATATCAAAATTAAAAATCTACTCTTCAAGAGACACTGTTAAAAAATGAAAAGACCAGAAGAAAATATGGACTGGAAGAAAATATCTGCGAAAGACTTATTTGACAACGGGAACATAGTTACAGAGTCTCACACCTAAATAACAATCACTTGAAAAAGATGATCAACATTATGAGTCACCAGGAAAATACAAATTAAAACCACAATGAGAATCCTCTACACACCTATTAAAATAGCTGAAATTTTAAAAATAATAATGAAAGTTTTCTTTATCAAGTGATAACAAAGGGTAGAGTAACTCAACTCTTACACACCGCTCAGAAAAATGAAAAACGGTAGTTAGTTGCTTTGGAAAATGGTTGGTTTGGTAGTTTTTTTTAATAAAGTTAAACTTATACATACCATACAACCCAGGAATCCTACCCAGGTATGTACTGAAGAAAAATGAAACTAAGAATGAAAAGATCCATCTAAATCTAAATGTAAATGTTTTAAGAGACTTTACATAGATCCATCAAAAACTAAAAAGTGTTTTTCAGCTAGGTCATGGATAAACAAATCATGGTCCACCGCACAACAGGCTACTTCTGAGCAATACAAAGAATGAACTACTGATAAACATAACAACATGAATGGATCCCAAATGTGTTATGCTATGTGAAAGAAGCAAGACTGAGTTATGTAATATTACTTCATTTATAGGGCATTCTGGAAAAGATAAACTGCAGGGACAGAGTCATTGCTGGGATTTGGGAAGAAGGAACTAACAACAAACAGGCATGAGAAAACATTTTGGAAAGGTGAAAATGTTCTGTGCCTTCATCACAGTGGTGTTACATGACTATGCATTTGTTATAATTCATAGGATAGGTCAATAAAATAAAGGGTAAATTTTACTGTATGTAAATTATCAATCAATCTGGCCAGAAAAGAGAAAGGGGGGAAGGGGGAGGAGATTCATGCAAAAGTGTTAAATGACAAGATACAACCCAACAATTAAAAATACTAGACTCTCGAGCCCATGATTATTAACAAAAGCTACCTAATAGTGGTCAATAGGTCACAATAAATGAGAGCAAAATGTCAGGTCTTCTTGTCTGAAAATTAAAACATGGAATAATTTTTGTTGCAAACAAAGCTGCCTTATCAGAATCCCATTAAAGGTAAGATAAATCCTGAACTCATAAAAGTCTTCAATCCTACTGTCTAGGTGACAATAAGAATATCAGAAGCTTAAAGTAGTCCAAAGTAGTTACAGTAGTTGTACTATTAATTTGTATACATATGCCTTCTACCTTTTTGAAATTTCTCTCTGAAGTTCACTTTAATCCCTTTGGAGTCTAGGG